CACACACACACACACACACACACACACACACACACACACAGTCACCATCCTCGGTGGGACAGATATAAATGTCGTGCCCCTTCACCTATCAACATGAGAAGTAATCTGGCGACACCAGAAGCCAAACACTCTCTGAATTGTCGCACATGCACACACACACACACAGCTCAATCAACCCATCACGTCACTGCAGCTATTTCACTTCGTCTTCTGCCATGTCCTGACTCCTCAGCTCAACTCAAGTCAGGTATTCAGGTCCTGTGGAGAATTTCCCTTTCTCTATTCCTGTAGTAATAAACCTCCCAAAATATCTCTATAGCCAAACATTAGTTTCATATAATAACACAGTTGCCCTCAATGCAGCAGATGGAAGGTAAATAACACACAGTGTATATATCCTCTGGATCCTGTTACGTCAAGGAAAAGTTATATTTCAGTTTTGGTCTCCAGGCTCAAATGAACCTTATCTTCACTTTGACACCTGATTCATCTGCAACTGGCGCTCTTGAGTCTCATATTCCCACCAATGAGAACTTCAGAGAGGCAGCAGATACAGATAGTTCAAACAGGACTAAAGTGATTATGTGACCAGAACGTTGAGCTTTCCAAGAAAAGTCTGTAAAAACCGTTCCCGTCCTCAACTGTCCTGAATCATAATGACAGCGGCCTGGAGAGGATGCCTCTCCCATAACAGCCCTGTGATCACCGAGGCGTGGGGCGTCAGAGGAGACAGAAAGTGGGGCAGAGATTTTTTTAATGTTTATAGGAAAGCTGTTGAAAATGTTAGAGTCCAAGAAAAGGACAAAAACTAAAATAATAAAGGATGAATATGGTTTTACTTTGATTGATTAGGTATCAAGTGAATCCACACCCATGCACCTCGGAAGGTCATGACCACAGCAGGCTGTAAATTGAACCATGGCACCTCCACTGCTAACCTGATGCTGTAAATCACAGGGTTTCTCTGCACGTTCTGCAGCACCAATAAACACATGTCACATAAAAACATCATTGTGGAACTCAGTGTGCCCCCCCCCCCCGCCCCCTCCACTTCCTGGAAACAGAGACAGAGAGGGACACGTGGGAGATTCCCCGAAAATGATGCACATACACACAACACAAATCTGAAGCACATACAAAGTCACAAAGCCAAATGCAAGAACATTTTTTGCACTTTATAAAGATCTGATCTGTGAGCACGTTCCATGATTTTAAAACAGCATTAAAAGAGATCTACAGATAATTATCACCAAACACTCTGCAGTACCCTTCAGCTGAACAGAGATTTATCTAACCTCCCTCGAGTCACAGCATGAAGCTGTTTTAGGCTAAAATGTTGTGATGGACCCAGAGTTACCAGCCTGAACAGCACCAACCTGCAGACAAACTCAGTGTCTGAACCCAGCGATGCATTTAGCTGATTAAGCATGAGCCTGATATTTTATTCAGGAGTTGGTCGACACCAGGGCGGCACGGTAATGTAGTGGGTAGCTCTGTTGCCTGACTTCTTGGTTCAATCCCAGTTTTACCTGGGGTCTTATTGGATGGAGTTTTTCCTGTTCTCCCCATGTTTGTATGGGTTCTCTCCGGGTTCTCAGACTTCCTCCCACAGTTCAAAGACAGGGTGTGGTTAATTGTAGATTCTAAATTGGCCGTAAGTGTAATGTGAGTGAAAATGGCTGTTCCTGTGACATCCTGGTGACATGGCCCGGGTTTACGCTGCTTCACGCCTGATGCCGGCTTAAAAGGATAAGTGGTATAAAAAATGGATGGATGGTCGAGACCAAAACAGCTGAAAGGAGAGTGAATATTGAATTCATTCATTAGGTGGTCAGAGATACAATTCTGTTTCCTGTTAATGCTGCTCCATGTTTACAGGACATATACGATCCAGACAACAGGTCCACCGCAACAAATTGTGGTTTATGTCAAATAAAAAGTAGCATTAAAATAAAATCTCAACATTTATTATAGATTTACATATTATCGTTTTGTTGCACATGTCATGTTCCTATGCATGTACAATATTTGAGCATCTTTTACTTTATTTTTTAGCCTTTCTGTGAATGGTAAATGAACTGCATTTAAAATATTGCTTTTCTAGTGTTGACCACTCAACACTATGAGTCAAATTCACCCACACACACGTTCACACAGTGTTACCATATACTGTGCTCTTCGATCCCACAACATTCACACTCTGTAGGAACAGCTATCAGGGGCAATTCCACTTCATCTTAATTTATCGCAGATTTTACTTCCTCATCTTGCTTTATCATGTAAAAACTAGCACCAGCAGAGATACTGTGGCAACAAAATAAAAGGAATACCCAGTATTTTGTATCTACTCCGACTTGTCTGCTTTTTCCTAAAACTCAACCATCGACTTATTTCGCTGAAGATGATATTTTCTGTCAGGAAAGATCAAAACATGTTGGAGGAGCAAACTCCACTTGATTCGGAGGTATCATTACTATTTAAAGGATTTCTCTTCAGTACTTACAAACAGGTTGTGACAACTTTATCTGGTTCCACACTGCTCTTCCCCTTCGAAGAACATCTTCAAACATCCCAACAAGTCCAACAGTAAACGCAGCCAGGTAGTTTTTATTTCTTTCTAATCTTGAGTGGTTCTTCCGGATCCTGAAATCAGACTGGACCCTCACTGTGCTCAGAATGAAATGCTGCAGGCAGTGCTGCGACATGACAGCAATTCTAATGAGCCCTGTATTATTTGCTAAGGGCAACACACACACACACACACACACACACACACACACACACACACACACACACACACACACTCCGAGGCTGCATGTGAGAACACAAATATCAGAGCCGGCTTCTCTGGATCTATTGGATCTCGGAAAGAATCAACTTGTAAAAAGACATTGTTAAGCTTCTGGCGATAAGGGCTGATGCTGGTGTTGATGTGCTCCTTCTGACCTGGAGAATCTACTGCTGCGTTCTTAACATAAAAGGCAACCTCTTGAAAATGTTGGAAACACTTTTCTGAGTTCTGAATGTGCAGTTCAGTGAAAACACGTCTTGTTAGTTTCCAGTCCATTACTTAAAATCCTTTTTCAACCCATTTGTGTCATTATTTCCACCCCCCATTGATTAAGCAAGGGTAATCAATTTGTATTGACAGCTTTCACCTAATTGTACCTCATTAGTGTTCATTCTGAAAAGAGCAAGTGCCGCAAATAATTTGCACACAGCGTAAGATGGATTTTACACTGCAAACACATTTTGCTGTCTTCAAAAGATCTAAGAGTTTACAGTTTGAAAATTACATGTTTTATGTATCTTTTAAATGACAGTCTCTATATAATCTATGAGTTTATATGTATAGCACAAAATAACAAGAGGCAGGATCTCAAGACACTTTGCAGAGTAAGTCCTACAGACGAAAATTATCCCAAATGTTGTTTACGTGAGCAGAAACGAGTTTGAAAAGCTCATTTTGGCCCGTAACAGAAACCAGGTCAACGTAGACGAGCTTGTTAGGGACGAGCAGTGATACAGATACAGCCTGTACGACCCACGGCCTTCACGGCGAGATGACAGTTGGAGGGCTACAGCTTATCAGACAGCAGCCAGGCAGTCGTAACAATCAGGACGTCTTTCTCTGATCTGAGTCGCCCTCTTTGGCATTTCTGTGGGGTATTTACTCCGTGTGTAACCATGCAGGTATTTGTCTATGATGTGCATGAGTGTGAGCCTGAGATAGACAGTATGGGATTAATTGGGTGCAAGTGATTATGAAACTCAGGCGAAATACGGAAATGAAGAAGGTCACAGACTCTTAAGGAGAGACTTGATGATGCCTTTGCTGGCAGTGTGACTGGGTTTGATAACAGGCTGCTCTTTATGCTTGGCTGCAGCAGCTTTGGGTCAATTGAAGATTTAGTTCAGTCAGGTAGAAGTTGTTTAAAGTTTTCTACTGAATGTTCCTGCATTAACGTTGCGGCAACACAAGTAAGCTCTGCAGTATTTTGTGTAAGAGAAAAAAAATGAATGTCAATTGAAGTGATCATTTAATCATTCTTTCTTTCCAGGCATTCATTTTAATGATTGAGAATAATTGCCTTAGGTTTTTACGCAGGAGCCACTCAGGGACTCTAGCTGCACAGTTTATCTTATTATTTTCAAACAAGTTGCTTCAGTAGCTACAGAACACATCACTTTCTATCGAATAGGGGATATTTTCCAGGTAAGCCCTTGTACAACACACCAGGCCCTACCGGTGCAAAGCAACGGCAAGTGCAATGCAATGTAACTTAATTTACTAGTGGTCACTCATCAAAACAATAACAACAGACCTAGTTTGATAATGTTGTGAAGCAGCGTGGGATCATGGGAGTTGTCTTCACCAACATTGCCGAAGAACATCTACCTGTTTCAGCAGAAGCTAACGGCAATGAAGAATCAAGAACAATTACAAGTGACCAATACAACCAGCGGAAGGAAAAATCGACTAACTTTCTCGCAGTGTGTTTTTCTTTGGTCATATGTCTTTGTCCCTGAAGTTACAGAACAGACAGACAAAGCCATGGGTAAAGCAGATATGATGCAATTATGATGCAAATAAATATATTTAAATAGCAAATACACTTGTATCCATGTGAGCACCCGTGGTCCTAAAATGAGGAGTCAGACACATGTTGGGCTTTGCTCACTTGAGGCAGCAGGAAGTTATTACGAAACCAACCAATAACAACCCGGAGTAAAGATGGTGGTGCAGTATTTCACTGATATTTGAAGATACTCAAGAGAATGGCTACTATGCACCTACACA